TTGTTGTATAGTCAGTATTTTATTCTTGAATCATCATGGGCATGCACTGACTGCAGCCAGAATAATGTTTTTACCAATCTCAGTAGGCTTTAAACACTTTCTGCCTCATCTTCGTTGTTCCAGCTCATAACAAATTCTTTTCCCATAAATGCTGACTTATTTAGCATCTGTGCAATGATATTGATTTTCTGGCTACTCGTTCCTTTTTCTATTTTATGCAATCTTAAGAAATATAAAAAGCGTCTGGTTTTGTCATGGATTTTTTGATGAATATTTAGTAAGTTGTATATTTGGATGATTGCTGATTGGTCATGCGATTTCTCTGTAGGTCTGCTCTATGTAATTGCTCATATTGCATTAGACTCATTCTTGTATTTAAAGAAGATGGCCCTGTTTGGGGAGCAGCTTTCACTATTAGTATTTGCTGTCGCTCCTGTTGTTGATAAATTCTCTTTCTGTACTAAGATGTGTATATGTTGCCCCTTTTTCTCTGTTGCCCCTTGAATGCTTATTTTGATAAATCTATCCAGGATGGTTGGAGGGTAAGTTAGTTCTTTTTTCTTTTCAATGAATGCAGGTGAGTCAGTCACTCAACATTCAAAAATTCCCCTTGTTTTTACGGACCACCAAGTACAGATTTTTTTTCAAACACTCACACCTATGCAGAATTACCTGGGACAACTCTCAGGGAGAGAAATTTTTTACTTTAAGTGCTAGAAGTTGCACTTAGAAGCCCAACAAGAAGCACCAGACAAAATGTCTCTCTGGGGATACATCCTATTTCTTCTAAACCTACTGTTGGGCCTATGAAATACTGTCAACTGCGCAGAACAAAAATATAATACAAACATCAGGTAGTGATAGTGTCGTTCATTATCCTGTTTTTACAGCTGGAAACTAGAAGTGTTTGGGACGAGGTTCAGCTGAGGTTCCCTGACTGGAGAAGAGTTACCTAACCAGTCTGTAAACCACATCAAAGTGTGAGCATCTCAGGCAAGGTGACAAGTTTGTAAAAATAATGTTAAGAAACAATGGAATAATGTTATGACATTATATCAGAATAAAATATTATAAAAAAAATATATTTTTCTCCAGCTGGATCTCTTTCTGTTTACTTTTATAGAGTATGCCCATGTTAGGTTTTGGAACCTTAAAGCGAAGTTAAGACTCAAGAATCTCCTGAATTCTGTGGTAAACAAAAATCAGCCTACTGAGTTGAGAGGGACAGTGTGGATACAAAAATTGTGTGACCATGAGGACACGATATACTACACTTGGCTTCCTGATCCAATTGTCAAAGAATCACCTGACAAACAATCGTGTGTGTGTCCGTTTCACTTTTGTGGGTCCTTCCGGAGATGGTGTTAATAGTGATTGATAGCATACGTTCTGCAGCTCGTTTGAATTGTAGCTCTACCACTAACTACCTGTAGGTACTTGAGTTATTGTGTGTAACTCACAGCCTCGGTTTTGTCATCTATGAAATGGGAATAAAAATATTACCTATATCATGCAGTTTTTCAGATTACAAAATAATAATGCATGTACAACATGCAGTGCCTGGCCCTGGCCAAGTGCCTGCTAAATGTTGGTTATTATTATAAGGTCATTAAAGGATGAAAAACTTCATAACAGGAAAAGATTACATATACAGGACTCCCCAGAAAAATCATGTATATTTTTTTGCCTTGAAAGATCATAGATAGATAGATAGCCACATCTTGCAGGCATTTATAAATGTTACCCTTTTAGTGTATATTGTTATTTAAAGATAGCTGTCAATAATTCCAAGAAGAAACCTGAGAGATTTGAGGCATAACCGCATGTGGCTTGTTATGGGACAGTGGTCACCAGGCTCAGGGTTAAGAAAATCTGCTCTTTTTCTCCAAGTTGCTTAGACTTTCAGCTTCTTAGTTATTGCCTGTCCCCAAAGCTCTTGGTGCTCAGTCTTCCTGCTCTTGGAGGTGAGAGGGGTCTTGGTTTTCGGAAGCCAGGGAAGTGTGGGTCCAGGGTGTTCAGCAGAAGGGGGTAAGTGTTAGGGCGTCTCACACTGCCGCTGTGAACCGCAGAGCTCCTGGCACTGGGCACTCAGCCCGCCCTTCTCTGCTTTCACTTTGTATTTGGTTTACCAGATGTCCAATCATTTGACTTTTTCACTTCTAGATCATTTTTGTCAGCATAAATATAAATAGATCATAAAATGTTAATCAGACTTCCTCATAAATAAAATTCTCTCAGGATACTAACAAATTCATCTATGACTGTTCCCTAAGCTAATTAGTTACCCCCTCTGCCCCACACACACACAGGTAGAAAAACCACTGGTTCAGAATCCACTGGTTTTCCATATTATCTTCCTCACTTTGGTGAAATTCAGAAAATTGTGAAATTAAATCACTTCTGAAGTTATACATTATCAAATGTCAGAGTAAAATTATCTGAATGCCTCCTTCTTTCCATGTGTAGTTCCAATTTTCTGAAGCTAATTTCTTCTAATCATAAGCACTCCAAGAAGAACTAGTTTTTGCAACTCAGCACGAGGGCAAGTAACTCTTATTTCTGCAGGCTGAGTTGAATGCAGGAGGTTTCCCAAATCTGCCCGAATACAATTGCTTAAAGTACAAAATAAATATTCCCTGTTCTGTTACTATTATTTTGTTTTTAGTGCTAAGGTTCCCAATAGTCAAAACCTTGCACTTGATATTTCTTAAGGAATCTTGCCCCAATGTGATAGTTAACATGGGAAATTTGTTTCTCTTCTTCTTCCCTCCCCTGCCCCCCGCAAAGGGTAAAGTTTAAAATATGGAAGTTTTAACTATGTGTTAAATGTTATTTTAAAATCATTAGGTTAATTTAGACATTTATCAAATTTCGCTGTACTTTTAGGTATCTTGCCATTTGCTCATGAAAAAATAAAAATATTTTTGAGGATTCTGCTTTACCATAAACAAGTAACTGGAATGTCTTTCCAGACAGCTTTTGTTGTTGGTGCTTCTGCTCCTCATCCAATAACTACACTGTGAAAGAGAAAGGAGATTAGCATCACATCTCAGGCAGAACTAGAACATTTTATGCTGAGACTAACATTCAGAATTACACCTTGACTCATTTCCTAATTTTCCTCACAGTAGTGCATCGAGTCTACTAAATTATTACATGGATTCAGTATTAGTCAGCAAAGGGCCAAATCACGCTATTTGTTTTAGAAGCAAAACTTCCCTGCCTCCTGGGATCCATCACACAACCTCCCTCCCTTTCTTCAGGATTTCGTGCCTTATCAGGTTCTATATTGGTTCTTAATGAGTATTGTATCAAAACAAAACAAAAATGATTATTGTTCTTATATTTTAAAAATTCATGTGGTCAGGTTTTAATTTCCTTAGTATTAAGTTCTTTTGTTGATACAAACATACAAAATAGTCTAGACCCAATCTTGCCCCTCTGAAAACTTTGAAAATGACAGTAAAAACTCCTTTTTTCATTTTTCATCTCAGCTCATAACAAATAGGTATGAGAACTCTATAGTACTTTTCTCTATTTCCTTCATTTTCAAACCACCGCATAGAAACCATGACTCATAATTTTGCAAATAATTTTGTTATAATTTTGTTATCTACCACTTCTTTATGACTTATTATGCACCAGGAACTAAGTTTAAGTATTTGGCATTACTTTGATTCAGTTGGTGCAATGAAGTAAAGTAGATATTAGCATCCACATTCTAAGTGGAGAAACTGTAACTTTGAGAAAAGTCAATTTCATATAGGCAGAAAACGAAGGATCCAGAATCATCACTGGTCCCCCTCTCATTAGGCAAACACCCACAAAAGTACGTATATGGTGATTGTGATGGGGAAAATGTAGTATGGAGTGAAGCAACATGCAGCTCCATCATTGAAAATTCACAACAATGGAGATACCAGGTTCTCCCTCTGCCTGGGAGATGCCAGTGTCCATCCATGCACATACGACGGGGGCACAGAGATGACCACATGCACCTGTCATACCTCAAGGAAGATAGTGAGTCATTGTCTCCCCGCCCCCAGTATTCTGACCCATCCTTTGTAAATATCCTTCAAAAATGAAGAAAATAAAATAACAATACAAGCTGCATGATAATTTCCATATTTCCTTGTTAAGTAAAAACTTGTCACACCTTGCATTCAGATACTAAATTGAATAAGTGTCCTGATTAGAATGTCATAATGCACTGAGTCAAATGCCTTCCAATATATAGTCTTTGAAAAAGAACAAAAGTCTGTATATATGTACTTGGATTTGTTTTCTGTGTGTTTAGATTAGCATTGCAGCTCTCCAATGACAGTATCTCCTGTTTGACAGTTTCTTTGTGCTCTTCAGTGCTAACAGCCACAAGAAATAGGTACCCAATAATTTAATATAATATCTACTCATTGCAAATTAAGAATACTCTCATAGCTGTGTGTGCCTTGCAGCCCAGCTTTCGGCCCTGTACAATATTCTCTTTTAGGAAACTGAAGACAGGAATTTGATTTTAGTTGAGACTTTTTCCGTATCACACACAGACATGTAGAATGTTAAACACTGCTAAGTTCTTTGTTAAATTACAAATCAATTGCCTGTCTCTACAGCTGAATAAGGAATGTTCCAGAGGCCTTCAGTTTTGACTTAGCTTATTGTAATGTTCTGATGATGATGCACTTTGACACTATAGGGCCAGAATTGGGAGCCATTTCGTTGAGGAAACTGGAAACCCTCACCTTTTAAAAACTAAATTCCCCTAACATCACATTATTTCTTAAATTTAAGATGATATTTTCTGCCTCCCTCACTAATGTCACTTCTCCACGTCGAGAACAAGAGCGGCATTTGGCATTTGTGTATTGCAAACCCAAATCGCTGACCCTTCGTTTTTAGCACTTTGCCATTTTGCTTTCGCTTTTTTAATTTGCTTGTGACTCTCTGCTTCCCCCATCTTTTTTTTTTTTTGGTACAATGATTCTTACCTTGTCTTTCCCCAGTCCGTTTCTGACCTGGAGAGACGTGCAGCATGTTATTGTCAGGACTTCCCGTGCAGGACATTTGAACGCTAATGACTGGAAAACCAATGCTGCTGGTTTTAAGGGTGAGAACTTCTTTCATATTCTGTCACAGGCAAACTATTTTTATTTTTCCCCCCATTTTAAACAGAGAGCAGGAAATCTAACCCCTCGAAAGAAACTTTAAATTTTGTGCTGACACACGAAGAGCTTGATCTTTTAGTAAATAAAAGGCAGATTTTTTTTTTTTAAATAATTAAAACAATACATATTAGGCAGATTTCCTTGGCTTCCCACATCGTACATCAATTTCTTAAAAGATAACCAACTTCCAAGTGTAGTCGGACTACGGGGCTCCTAATCAGTTTATTTGCTGTCATTGACTATCTGAGTGCTATTTGTAATAATGTATTTAAAATTCCTCACCTTCTACAATGATTACCTTCATTTAAATAATAACTGGTATATCGTTCACTCGAGTATAGCACTGTTAGTTTCTAGGCCATGCTTTCTGTACATTTTGGGTTTTTTTTGAACTTCCACAAACAGAAAAGTAGGCATACCTTCTAAAACATTATATAAACTAAAACTGCTTATGAAACTTTATAATATGCAGTCTTTATGAAATTGTGCATAATATATAATAAGTGCTGACTATTTTTCCCATGACTGATAGAGATTATTGTTTCCTCAAACTGTATTACTAACTGTAGCCATTTTTTTTGGTTGTCATTCATAACATATGTTAAAATAAAAAGAAAATAATTATATAAAGCAGATGTCCTAAAGTTTAGTATATTTACTCAGGTTTCAGATGACCTAAATTTAATCCATTAATTTAAGTTACAACAAAGGTTACTTTTTGTCACATCTGCAGACTTAAATTTACTCCCAAATAATCTCAGTATCATTATATATCTCTATGAATGAAAAATGACATCTCATAACATGGAGAATATCAGCTAAAAAATTGAGGTTCTGGTCTTCAACTCATTGGTTACAAGATGAAAAATCCTGGGCAAATTATTTAATTTTTGTGGACCTTAACTTCCTCAACTTAAACATTTTAGAAACTGATAATATTATCTACATATGATATCTTATGTATGATTTTAATATATCCTTAGTGAATTATACCCAATGTATGCAAATAGAAAATGTAATTTTAAATTATTTGCAAATAGCTTATTATAGTCTCATGCTTAGCCAAAACTTATAAATATACCAGGTAACAAGCACCATATAAAATGTTCTTGATTAACATCTTCACTGAAAAGCTTCCCTCCATTTTTAGAACAAGAATATCCCTCTGCTTTTCAGTATTATCAAATTCTTTTCCATGTTCATAAACTAGATAACGCAGCAGTGTTCAATGAATGCTCAGTCTAAAGAGTTGTAAATACTTTTTGGGATCACATTTTCTGAAGCCCAAATCAAGACACTTCATCCCAAAATAGCAATTGTTATGTGCAGCATCTAAAATATTTGAAATTTCAGTTGTTCTAGAAAATCTAGGATGTAATTTGCCATATGTATGTTTCATTTTGATTAGCTTCCACATACATGCTCCCAGTTCCTACTATATAAATCCGTGAGGCCGGAGGGTGGGGCTTGGGGGGAAGAAGGGACCAAAATATAACCTTGGCTGGTTCAACGCTGCAATGAACTTTTTAGCAGAAAGTTCACAGACTAAGTACATTGACCTCCACGAAGCTGAGGAATCAACTTTAGCCTAAATAAAAGTCTTAGTTTTACTTATTCCTTTTTGGCAACTTAGAAAGAGCAAATGGTTCTAATAAAAAACGCAACTCTTTTGAAAACCTCTGTTGGTTTTGGAGAGGGGGAAACAGGATTTAGACTAAATCGCCAGATCCAAACCTGATTCTGAAGGGGGCTGTACACTGCTTCTGGCAGGGAGGAAAGAGCATTTTACTATTGCACGTGGCAATATTTAGTATAATATTTCACTCTTCTCTTAGATTGCTGCCAAGAGTAACAATTAAAGTTCGCTTTTTCATAGATGAATTACCCTGAACGGTCTGGACTCCCAGTGGAATTGTTTTGTAATTTTGTTGATGGCAAGCCCCATATTTCATCTAAACATGATCATAATAAGAAGAATTTTTTTGAAAATGAGTTATTTTCTTTTCTACTCTTAAGCATTACCATTCCCTCCCTAGTGTCCCACAAATAAAAGTGATTAAGGCAAAAGCTAGCAGGAGAAGCGACGTGCTTTGGGGAAGGAGAGAATGCAGGTCACTAGGCTGTAGAAAGATGGGCTGGTTTTTTATGAAATAAGAACTGAACGAACAAAAAGAGCCAGTTCTTGGAAGAGGTTCATGCAATGAGAGCTCAGCAAGAGCCCATATTTTAAATTAGGTCAGCCGGCTTTTGCAGGCCTTCCTTAGCAGGAACACATGGCCAAACATTTCTCCTTAGAAGAAAACGGAAGTTGCTTACAAACAGAAGCGAGTAGCCACAGCCGCACACCCTCCTCCCATGCACCTCAGTTCTAATGCTGAGTGGGATGTATACGTGAAATGGATCTGAAAACACTTATGCTTCCCTGGGCTTACTTTTGTGCCCTAATGTTGAGGAATTTAACTTGTTCGAAAAATATTTTATTTTTTTTTTAAAAAGGAGAATAATTTTACAAATTGCAACGGAAACATCAGTATCAACATCAGAATTTCCTTCTCATCCGATAAAGCAGAAGCATTGCAGAGTAGCAAACAATTTGGTTTGGGGCCTGGCCATCAATAGACATAAGAGTCTTACTTATCACTGTTAACTTCAGAGAAGCTAACACCCTAAAGAACAATCTCTCACCAAACCCTGCCAAGTCCACTTCACACAAAGTTCTCACATTTCTTCAGACATACCCATATTTAGTACATCCTAGTCAGAGAACACAGCCAGATTATCTAGACTGGCGAGGGCTTCTCCTTAAGGCAGACTTGATCCACTCTTCCCGAACACGTGCTATGGACCAGGGAAATGAAAGAGATTCCCTCCAGAAGTAGCTGCTGGTTTCCTGTTGACTGGCATGGGCAGGTTCAGGCTAGGAGGCTGGCCTTGAAAAAGTGAGGAATGTGGCTCTCTACTGATTCAGCTATGTGTTTCTCTGAGAGTGGGATTACCCTGGAGTTGCATACTGATGTGCTGGGTGCAGAGAACTTCCTTCTCCTTTCTCTGTGCTCTCTCTTCATAGTGACACTCTATAAACAATCCTACACTGAGATTAGCTCACAGTGAAGGGAGCCCGCCCCAAAGAGGAAGCTACTCATCAACATTTTACTGCTAATGTTACCTTAATTTTTAACAATTTTAATTGAACTAAGATCATTCTATCCTGCTGCTTCTTAAATAATAATAACCATTTGCTATACTATAGTTAAGATGTCTCTTGAAGATTCGTTTTTCAAAATAAACATAGACAGATAAATATATACATATGGAAACTGACTAAACATTATTTTGGTCATTCACGTAGTGAATAATCCCAGCTAAATTTCAGACACCTTTTAACTTTAAACCTCCTCCAGAGACAGTTTCTTTAAAAATAAATAGAATGAATATAATGCACCTATCAAAGAATCTAATTGAGATTATGCACGAGAATAAGAAAGTATTTGTATGAGACCAGATGAACAGATGTGATAGTCGCCACTAGAGAACTAAAATGCAAATTCCAATATTTTGTTACTGACCAACATTTGCAATGCCAGGAGATGACCTTGGCACTAAATTGTTTGGGTTTTTGTTTTTTTTCTTCAGTATTATTTCTTTCTCCCTTGATCCCTTCCCTTTCCTTTTATGAAAAGTCTGTTTATTTCTTCTCTCTTTTTTCAATGATCCCTCCTGCTCCTTAAAATGTACAGATCAGCTGTAGAAGGGCTTTTGCCATCTGGGAGATTTTCTTCACAGAATTTAATTTATGTGGTCTCTCCATTTATTTATTCACAAATATTTCCTGAGCACCTTCAGCATGCCAATCCAACACATGTTGAACTGCAACCAAAAGTAGAAGTGGAAGGAAATGTCAGAGGCCCTATTGCATTGCCTAATGTGATCTGGCCATGGTGTGAATTATATACAGAAATAGAAATTTACCCTGCACCTTTATTTCCCCTTCAGTCAAGCCCAGATGATCTTCCAGGTCATGTTAATAAGTGTCGATGATAGTTTTCTCATCACGCAAGGTGCAGCCTAACCTCAGCAGCAGAAGGCATCTAATGTAGAGACTATATCTATTGTGGCATGTGATATGCATTTTGACCATCTCTGTTAGTGTATAATGGCTATGTGGACCATAGAACCATGCTGAGGACGTTAATTCTGCATTCTTCAGGAATCCATGGCTGGCATCATTTCAGGAAGAATTTAGCTCTTTGTTGTAATCTCCCTTTTTTATACTGCTTTAATCTGAGGAACCTGCAATTCCACCACCCCTCTCTCCCCTAACCGCCGGGGCTGTGCGGG